GCTAATATTAATTTACTCATATAGCCGGTGTTTATATAATATTGAAGTACTAAGTAGTATCAAAGGTATACTCTTAAAATGTTTTGGATTTCAATGTGTTAAAAAAATGTATCTTTTTTTTTATCTAGATAATAATGTATTTATATTTCATCTTTATCTAGATGAATTTGAATTGTGTTATCTTTTATCTTTATCTAGATACATATTTGTCCTGTTATCTTTATATAGATAAAAAAAAGTACTTATCTAATCCCAACACTAGTACGCTCAATATAAATTCCTGCTGTATTATAGCATAGGTAGTGTTAATAATATTTTTATACTTTTGGAACAGGTGACTGAAGAAACGTGTAATATTCTGCAACATTTCGGGTTCAAGTTCGAACAGCGTGGCCTAGTAGCGGTCAAAGGCAAGGGACAGCTAATGACCTATTACTTGGTTGGCAAAGGCCTCCAACCCAGTCAGGTACCGCCACCAATCATGGAGACGCTGCCGGAAGTGGAAGAAGAGGACACGGACGAATGCATGGTGGTCAGACAGGCACTGTTACCTCGAACCGATCACAACGGGTCTGCAACTGCTTCCGGTTAATGAACACCAACAACGACTTTAATTATTATTTTATATTTATTATATAACGATGACTAGGACAACATGACATCGATTAATATATAACAATACATATTATAATATATTATATTTAAATTACCCATTTCCGTCGCAAAGGCCATCGAGACGCGAAAACGTCAGCTATTTCATATTAATTTATATAATTATTATATTATACGGCTATGTGCCGAAAAAAATTATTTAAAAATAGCTGATTTGTCATATTATTATAATTATTATTACCTACTATAATCTTACAATATAAGTGTAATTTATTGTTATGTTTGCTACCATCAATGTGTTTACGATCGTGCACTTATTGATCTATTCGCTAAACGAGCTTTTTATAATTTTATTATTATTTCCTAGATAAGTATATGCCGGTTTCAGTTTACTTACATTTTCTTTCTCTCGTTTTTTTATTTTTAATCGATAATACCACCGTTAATGTTAAACATACCAAGGGATCGTTTAATAAAACCTTCTGCCTTGATTGTATTTGTTCATATTGAACACGAAAACAAATTAGTATAAAAACACAGCAGAATAAAATTGTGATTTTGTTCAAACTTATAGTTTTTTGTATTAAAATATAAGTAATGCGTGTGTTATTACTATTACTAGTATTTTATTATTATTATGATTATTATTGCCATCATCATCACTATGCTTAGATCTTTTCTGAGTTAATATTTATTYTTTTTTACTTAATAATAATTATTATTAATTACCCCTGCTATTTAATATCAATATATTATAGTTATTGTTACCGCAAATAATATAATGATTGCGACCACATGCATAAAGATTATAGTACTAGTACTATACTGTCTATACTACTATATAGGAGACATATTTACAAATTACTAATTTATAATCATAATAATAGATTTGTTAATTTTTTTTTTTACAAATAAATYTACCATTACTATATAATAGAGAATGATAATTGAATTGCTTATTTTTAAAAGTAAAACCTGGCCTTTAATTTTGTAATTTGTTGTCAATTTAACTAACTTAAATAACACATTGAACAATAAAGTTTTACAATTTTGTTTGTTTTGAACAACCCCAATATTGTCCAATATTTTATATAAGTATGGTAGGTAAATTCTACAAATTATTACAACTAGGTAGGTAGGCTAATAATAGTCAAGCTTTTGACTACCTACCTACATAATACCTACCTATGCATTTTAACATTTTAACAATTTAAGTTCATCTATTGTTATTATATTTAAGTTATTCATCTATATTATTGTTTGTTTATTTTTTTTTTTATATGTTCACTAGTTTTAGGCTAAATAGTTAATACTTAGTATACCTATTTTATACCTTCATCTACCTGAATGATATTTTATTTGTAAATACTCATAATAGTTTTTATGCATTTATGTTATTAAATTTTACGATCTACAATAGACTTCACTTTACAATTTATTGTATTCAATTTTTAAAATTTACTTAATAATATACAATTTCAATGATTAATATGACCAACTAGGTACAGAAATAGGAATACCTACTGTTGTTTTTAGGATACATATTATTCTTAAGTCAATGGTGGTTAACATATTTTGTTTTTTTTTTTTTTTTTGAATTTTACCAATAGGTACCTATTACGAAGATAAATCATTAAAAACAAAAATACCTAATATTGCATTACTAATTTAGAATTTTCATTTTTTTTTTTTTTATCATGTTAAATAAATAATAGAATTTGTTCACAAATTGCCTATTATCAGTTTATATAATTTTAATTTAATTTTTAGACAATTTATTACCTAGTCGTATAGTATGTGGCTTTTAAAATCTTAATGACACTATTAGGGAGCATATATTTTAATTTGTAATATATTATATTTTGTTTTTGTTTTTTTTTGTTTTTAATAATTATGTATAATACATCATTTTATAGCCAATATACCTAAAAATAATTTATAAGAAAACCAAAATCAAATTTTATAAGGTTATTAAGATGGTTTTAATGTTACCTTAAAAATTATCATTAATATTATTATTATTATTATTATTATTATTATTATTATTATTAGTGTATCCTTATTTACGATAAGATAATGCATTTTAGACAATGATTGAGATTCTTCGTGTACAAAATCTATATAGATTTGATATGTTATATACCTACACTGTACACTAATTTTTTTTTTTATCTCAATAAGTATTGATATTTGATAGTTYGAAGAATTAGCATTCGATTTTATTTCAACACCTATCCTTGTCTCAAAAAATAAAATATAAATCTTAAGTCTTGGCACTTGGTGCATATTAAGYAGAACAATAGTTTCAATTCAAAGTAGATTTGAGTTCCAATCAAAATGTAAACTTACRTAGATGAATTGATTGATGGCTTATTTCCAGGTGACTTTCCTCCTCACTCAACACTCAACGACTTACAAAATTTAAAAACTTGTTACAGTCAACTTATTGAACTTGCATCTAGGATACCCACTACTCACTAGTGTTTCCTATCAAGATGAAACCTATAGGTAGTGATAATTGTTATAACTATTATGTACAGACTATGCGGTTTTTCTGATTTTTATAATAACTATTGTCTATTGTGTTACATGATTACTGTTTTATATATTCACATATAACCATTTTCCTATTAAGTCAATGGAAGAAGCACTTAAGTGTGACGGCATAATGTTTGTTTTTTCTCTCASACCCAACATCCACCAAAGTTATAGGGTTACTAACTATGAGACGTGGTAAGGTAATAAAGCATCATTCATAAAATGTAGTTTACAATTGTAATGGAAAATCACTTTATCGTACCCACCAAACCAACATGTCATCACTCATAAACATACACTATATACGTGTGATACACGTATCACTCATACTCAAAAACATTAAAAAAAATCATTCTGTGTAAATAAATTTAATCTAAGTGATATGAGGTCCTGAAAGAGAAAACTAACTGTGCACTAACATCMTCTGGTATATTGACAGACATGATCATACTAGGTAATGGTACATATGGGCATACAACCATTTTATCAGTTAATAAGAATTGCTAAATTATATCTTTAGATATTAATATGATATATCTATAACATACTAAAAGTCAAATAACGTTTACTATATTATCTACATTTTTAAGTTTTAATGTACCTAAAATTAATTATTCTGGAGGGAGAACACCATTGATATAATTAAGAAAAAGTATTAGATTGTAATCTTATTATTTAAAGTATCAAAAATAAAATATAATATAATAAATATCTTAATTTTTTATATGTCTTGTAAGCACTCGTGTCATGGATTTGCCTTCTCTGTGTTACAAGTCGGTTGACCGTAGTCTCGTAATTGTAGAGTGTGAATGTAAGTAAGATTCTTTTAAATAACAAATACATTCTAATAAGTAGTTTTTATTAATTGAACATATACAGACAATAGGCACTTTCCACTCCCAACTGCCTTCAATTACCATTCTTCTTCCTTATATCTAAATCAAATTAGGACAATCCCTCATCTTATGTAAAAAGTGCTTTAATGCAGTTCTGGGATTGTACTTTGTTGAAACTAATTTCTTGCATAATACTAAATGTTTGATAATTACTACATTTCACAATTGTTTAATAACTACTAAGTCTGTCCCTATTACCTAATGTTATGATAGTTATACTTAATTATAAAACTTGTATATCTCATATTCCTAAGGATATGCAACTCACATGCTTATTTTTAAATTGTGTATTATACAGTTGGACTCACAAATATATTTTGACTCAAGCAAATGGTTTTTTTTTTTTATTTACTTTGTATGTAGTTGTTATTAATTACATAAATTAAAATAGTAGTAGTATTTAAATAGTTATTGTATTTGTATATAATTTTAAACCTGCATTTTAAAATTTATTTAAATCTTCTAAACTACCATGATATAATATAATATATAATTTACATTTAATAGAGTTCAGCATAAATTCACTGTCATTGTTTAATTTGTCATGGAACATTGTGCAGGATCAGCTAGTATATTATTCATCTAAACAATAATCCCATTAAATTTATTAGTTTGATAACCATCAARATACATTTTAAGTGTTTTTAAATCAATAACTTGTTGTAATTATTGATCTTGGATTGTCACACATTATACCGGTGTATTTGTATCTCTACCTTATACACTTGGAGAAAATAACAGAAGCATTATATTTTAATATCACATCTGTAAACATTAAATCCATTTACTTTTATTTAGTATTTTTCATATTAMATATTATAATTTATAAATTACAAAAATTTTCATAAAAACTCTAAAATGCATAATTTTAATTAATTTAGGATAAAACATTTCCATTAGGGTATTATCGCATTTTATAAAATACAATTTTAAATTTAAGTTTTTATGAAATTAAAAATTTTCTATACACATTAATATGTATATATAAGAATAATTCTTGTACTAAAATTAATTATTGCCAAAAACAATTTTAAAGTTTAGTTAACTTTTAGGCTTTCAAAATAATTTCCTTGTCCATGTAGTTAACAATTTATCAGCTTCCTTTAAAGTTTCATCTTTCTGTAAAACAAATAAGTTTAAATTTAATGATATACTTAAACGAAGGAAGTATTTAAAAAAAATACTTTGAAGAAACAAAGTCGCATATAGTCTTCAGCCATTGGTTTACTCTTTTCGGAGAAAAAGATTGAAAATGGTATAGTTTGAAGTTTGACATTTTTGGAAAGCCACTTAGTAAACTGTAAGTCCTTGTATTTATCAGTTTCCAGGCTTAAATCTATTTTATTTTCTAAATCAACAAATATAAATCATTACTTATTATAAGATATTATTATTGAAAAGATGTCTAGACAAACCAAATATGGTCCAATTTGAAATAATAAAATATCCTCCATCAGGGATAATAGGTTTGAAGCCAGTTTCTTTTAATACATTAGACAGAAAATGCATTTTTGGTTTTAATTCTTTGCATAAATTTTGAAAATAACTTTCTGATGTGCCAAGGACACTGATTTCATGTTCAAAACCTCTAGCAACAGCTTCTTGAACTGGAGTTGCACATGTATAAATTGCAGTTTGATGAACAACAACTAGATTTTTTATAAGATTAGCTGGACCATATGCCCATCCAAGTTTCCAACCAGTCATACTAAATGTTTTTCCAGCAGACCCAATTGTAATTGTTCTTTCCCACATGTCAGGAAGTGAAGCTGATGATAAAAAAATTAAATTTTAAATTTATGATTTGGGTATTGTCATTTGTATTTTTTATCATTAGTAAATTTATGTGATTAAATAAAAAAAAATGATATAAAAATTAATTTACCAATTCTTATGTGCTTTGCTGGCTCGTACACCAACCACTCATATACCTCATCAGAAATAACTAGAGCATTATGTTTTTTGGCCAAATCTGCAATCATTTTTAACTCGTYGTAATCAAATACTTTTCCCAATGGATTATGTGGTGTATTTACGATGATGAGTTTGGTTTTGGAATTGAATAATGATGCCAGTTCTTCAGGATCGAGCTTCCAATCACTCGAATGTGATTCTGAACTATTAGGCTTAGTCTTCGAAAAAATAATAACATGTTATTATTGTTTTTGTAACATCATGTTGTGATGTAAAAATATTCTTACATTCTTTAGTGCTATGAATCTGGGAGTTCCGCCAGCTATACGTATTAATGGTTCGTAGCAATCAAAAAATGGCTCAATAATAATCGCTTCATCACCAACCTCTATATTACTCTGTATAGTACAAAAAAGTGCTTCATATGCTCCAACCGTAATCAATATTTCATTCAGTGGATCAATTTCTCGGTTAATTAGGTTTGAATAAAGTTTTGATAACGCATTTACTAAACGTACATGACCCTAGTAATTAAAAAATTTAATTAAATGTTAACTTAAAAAATATATTTTTCACTATAGTATTACCAATCCACGTGTATATTGATGAGAATATAAATTATTTTCTGAAGCCACTTCTGCTAAGAAATTTAAAAATCGTGATGGTGGTTCATAATCTGGAAATCCTTGACCCAAATTCAAAGGCTTAGTAATCATAGCCAAATCACTGTATTCAATCCTATAAAACAAAAATAGATTAGATGAAACTCATTGTCAATATAATCTGATAATATTTCTAAYAATAGGTGATACTGGTACTCATGTACCACTGCACTGAGCTCATCTATCTAAGCATCAAATAAACAAAATAATATTTCCAAAAAGGTTAATAGTTTTTGAACTAACAGAGGTGCTAGTTTTTCAGAAAGGATATGATTAATATATTGATATGAATATTTCCACTATCTGGGATAAAAATCAAAAATTT